ATGTAAGTAAATTAATTAATTATTAGTAGACATCTAAGCTAATTCTTATAATTGCATAAAATCTGTAATCTGTCAATATAATAGATTTTAATTAATACATTAACAGGGCCAAGCACCATATACGAACAGTATCAAGGCTGTGGAAGAAGATATACAAGCAATAATCAAGCGAGTGAATGAACTAACAGGCATCAAGGAATCTGATACTGGTTTAGCTCCACCAGCTCTATGGGACCTCCCAGCTGATAAGCAAACCCTGCAGAATGAGCAACCGTTGCAGGTTGCACGTTGTACTAAAATTATTAACGCAAACTCAGATGATCCAAAGTACATCATAAATGTGAAACAGTTCGCAAAATTTGTCGTCGATTTGGCTGACACCGTAGCTCCTACTGACATCGAAGAGGGTATATAAAGACAGTAAAGATGATTGCACAAATTTATTATTTATTCTATTTAACAATGGTTATTATCGCAGGCATGAGGGTAGGAGTGGATCGCAACAAGTATCAAATTCATATACCGCTGCCACCGAAGATAGATCCGACTGTTACGATGATGCAGGTCGAAGAGAAGCCCGATGTCACTTACAGTGACGTTGGTGGTTGTAAAGAACAGATTGAGAAACTGAGAGAAGTGGTCGAAACACCTCTGCTACATGTAAGTACATTTGATACAAAGGATTTTACAATTAGGTACAGAGGATTTCAATTATATTCTTAATTGTAGCCAGAGAAGTTCGTCAATCTGGGAATCGAGCCACCTAAAGGAGTGCTGTTGTTCGGCCCGCCTGGTACAGGGAAAACCTTGTGCGCCAGAGCCGTGGCCAACAGGACAGACGCTTGCTTCATTCGTGTAATTGGTTCTGAACTCGTTCAAAAATACGTCGGCGAGGTATGTACTATATTATCTTTCGAACGAAGGTTTTCATTATTTCTTATATATCGAGTTAATATTTTTATGGAACTATTAACAGGGCGCCCGTATGGTGAGAGAATTGTTCGAAATGGCACGCAGCAAGAAAGCTTGTCTGATATTCTTCGACGAGATCGATGCAATTGGCGGTGCGCGATTCGACGATGGAGCCGGTGGTGACAACGAGGTGCAACGTACTATGTTAGAACTTATCAATCAATTGGACGGGTAAGTTCGTTTATATATGAAGAACAAACAAAAATTGCATAATTTTAAATAAATGGAAATATTTCAGTTTCGACCCTCGAGGCAACATCAAGGTACTCATGGCAACGAACAGGCCGGATACGTTGGACCCAGCGTTGATGCGGCCGGGACGACTTGACAGGAAAGTCGAATTCGGACTTCCGGACTTGGAAGGAAGGACGCATATATTTAAAATTCATGCCCGTTCGATGAGCGTCGAGAGGGACATCAGATTCGAGTTGCTCGCCCGGTTGTGCCCGAACAGCACCGGCGCCGAGATCCGTTCAGTTTGCACGGAAGCGGGGATGTTCGCGATCCGCGCTCGCCGCAAGGTAGCCACGGAAAAAGATTTCCTCGAGGCTGTCAACAAAGTGATCAAGTCGTACGCGAAATTCTCCGCCACTCCTAAGTACATGACGTATAATTAAATTCATCGTCATTAACGAATTCTGTACATGATTATTTTTAAATTCGAAAATCAGAATCTGCACTGAAATTCGTTTGCTATAGTACTACTGCGGCGTTATATAGCTTGCGTAGTTTTGCAAGCTGCATTCTTTGCCTTTTTGCACAATAAAACTTTCCCTGAAAATCTACGAACAATTATTTACTGAAGTATTCACCACAAGAACCACAGAATTTAATTTATCCAAACGCGATTCGACCAACGAGGTTCTACTACATTTGTATGGAAATATAATATTGTATCGCTGCGAGTTGGCGTGCAATTATAAAAATAAATTACAATTTCCTATTAAAATACGTTTCCTGCATTTACAATTATAATAAAATACAGAGAATAAGAATATACGTAAAAATAAAATTCACAATTATAAAAAGCTAGTATTTTTATATTAAACCTTTTGGAAAATAAACTTCAGCGGAGCGTTCGGTTTATTAATCAAAACGGACGTCATGCCGAGTTCATTCCCATCCCACCGAAACTTCAACCTCTGACATATCTACAATTAAAAACATGTAAAAATTAATACGTACGATAATTCATTCCAGGGAATATAATTACACATTTTTTACGCCTTACCCTCAATAATAAGACCTGCATGTTTTGTTCCGCGAAACGTCTTGCAATGCAAGATCTAGGCCCGTGACCGAACGGTAGCAGAACGTAGGGATGAACCGATTTACCAGGATTCAATCGTTCATCACCTTCCGACTGATCGCGCAGCCACCGTTCCGGTATAAACGAGTCGGGCTCGTCAAAATATTCAGG